TATACATCTTCTGAAAGCTGAATAAATAAGCTTTTCATTGATGTATGGTTTGTTAGGATCGGACAATATTTGGCTGAGATACAACTATTTGAAAATCTGGAATCTGAGGGTGCAAAAAAAAAATCTAAATATTGAGAAAATCATCTTTAAAGTTGTTCAAATGAAGTTCTTAGTAATGCATATTACTAATCAAAAATTAAGTTTTGATATATTTACAGTAGGAAATTTACTAAATATCTTCATAGAACATGATCTTTACTTAATATCCTAATGATTTTTGGCATAAAAGAGAAATGTATAATTGTGACCCATACAATGTATTGTTAGCTATTGCTACAAATATACCCCAGCGACTTAACACTGCTTTTGTGCTGCAGGGTCATATATTCACATTCCGGGATTCTATTTCGACCCAAAAAATGTTTTATTTAATAACACAGTCATAACTTAACATGTGTCAAATAAAACCATATTGTATCTGATCAGCAACTTCATATTAATGACTGAATGTGAAATTTGTTTTTACGTTTGTTAATTGTTTTTACCATGTTAATGCATTAACTGTGCATTTACAAGTAATGCATTTACCCCTTTTTTTTTTATAAACAAAAAAGGTAGAAATTCTTTGAAATTTCAAATTACACATAAACCAGAAATTTTATTTGAATATATAATTGCATGAAATTTATAAAAACATATAATCTGAGAATTACCAGTACTAACCCCATTTGAATGAAACAAAACAACAACAACAATTTATTTTAAAATGTTGGAACTTAATTCCTTTGAATTTATAACTTGATTGTTCAAAAACAGTCCAAATTTATGGAACTTACATATTTATTTTTAACAAAAGATCAAAACAACAAAAATATTACTTTGAAAAGTTTTCAAACAAAATTAATTCATTTTACTTGCATAAACTTTCACTTTCAGATAAAAAAAGTGATGCATTTTTCATGCTGCGGTGGTTCATCAATAGGCGACATATTCAAGTTTATCAACAAAATTCAGTCCCAAAAGTGTGTGAGACACGGGGAAAAGGCTAAATGTATTTTACAAAGGTTTTTTGACACTAATATAACTTCACAGATCATTTTACAGAAAGTATTTTCACATCTAATGGCACTCCATACATACCCAGGTCAAAAATGACCCGAACATGACATAAAATGGTTATATCTCTGAAAACATAATTGCAAAAAATCTGAAAAAAATAAATGATGTGTATTTTGAGTGTCTTAAAGCATTTGCAAAGTTTCGTTCGCTTACTAAAAATTATGCATGTTTTAGAAATGTTTATGCATTATGAGGGTTCGAGAGTTATGCAGCGCTCGTAAAACAGCCCTCGAGTCTCACAGTTCACACGATCTGGCTGCATTTAAAAACCTCAGCGGGGAACGTGATTCAGCTGGAGAGGAATGTGTTTTATTTCAATCAATAGAGACAGAACAACGCACCTGGTCTGAGGAAAGTGTGTCAGTAGATCCCATAACGACTGTCCACTCGAGAAAGAGCCTTGAAGACGAGAGCCGTCCTCCATCTGCAGCGCGATCCGCACCTGAACCAACAGAGAGAAATTAAAATAAAAAACTATTAATAAGACACACCAAGGCTGCGTTAATTTGATCGAAAATACAGTAAAAAATCTGAAATATTATTATAATGTAAAACAGCTGTTTTCTATGTGAATATGTGTTAAACAGTAATATATTTCTGTGATGCGCAGCTGTATTTTCAGCATCATTACTCCAGTCTTCAGTGTCACATGATCTTCAGAAATCATTCTAATATGCTGATTATTAGATACATTTCTGATTATTATCAATGTTGAACACAGTTGTGCTGCACAATATTTTTGTGGAAACTGTGATGCATTTTATTTTTCAGGATTCACAGATGAATAGAAAGTTCAAAAGAACAGCGTTTATTTGAAATATAAATATTTTGTTACATTATAAATGTCTTTACTGTCACTTTTGATACATTTAATGCATCCTTGATGAATAAAAGTATTAATTTCTTTTTAAAAAAATCATACTGACCCCAAACTTTTGAACGGAGGTGTATATATAATGTATATTTACTATATATAGCATAATAGTAATTTATATACTACTATATTTTTTATAAATTTTTTGAATTAGCATTTATTTTTTCTATTTTCAGTTTTCAGATCTGCTTTGCAGCTGAAACTGAACTTGTTTCGTAATGAATGAACTTTATGAAGTCATTGAACCGAATCTGAATTAAAATTGAATTAAATGGATCTGAACAATGACTTGTCTTTTTAGAGCTGAACTTTTTTTTTAGAATGATTGAACTTTAGAACATTCATTGAACTATTGAACTGAATCTGAATCAACACTGAACCAAGTTGAATAATGACTCTATTGCTATTTTTAAAGTTGCTTTTTAGATGAAATTGAACTTTTTTATAATGAATGAACTTTAGAACATTCATTGAACCGAATCTGAATCAACACTGAACTGAACAGAGTTGAATAATAACCGAGCGGCAACCTCCCGCTCTCTCTCGTGAAGCCAACACGGAAGTGACTTAAACTGTAATTCATCGACTCAGTGAGAGCATGATTAATAAATCATACTATATACAGACAAGCACTGTTTTAATGCATTAAGCCATGTAAGCGTTTTCCTTATAACGGTTTTTATCATATTCAGTCGAGCTGTCCTGTTCTAGTCGACTGCAAATCTGGGAAATCTAGTCTAGTTTTAGTCAATTAAACTCATTTTAGTCAAGCTGCATGATGGTTAAACTGATAATCACTATTATTTTGCTCAAAATTGCTGATCATTCGAGAAATTACATCAGAACTATGAGAACATGATTAATAAATCATACTATGTACAGACAAGCACTGTTTTAATGCATTAAGCCATGTAAGCGTTTTCCTTATAACGGTTTTTATCATATTCAGTCGAGCTGTCCTGTTCTAGTCGACTGCAAATCTGGGAAATCTAGTCTAGTTTTAGTCAATTAAACTCATTTTAGTCAAGCTGCATGATGGTTAAACTGATAATCACTATTATTTTGCTCAAAATTGCTGATCATTCGAGAAATTACATCAGAACTATTGCACTTGGTTTTATTTTCAGTAATTTTTTTGTGTTTTTGTCATTTTAATTTTACTAATCATTTTTGAAATTAGTTTTAGTTATTTTAATACATCAAATTAAACTACATGAAAATGATACATTTTTCTTGAATTAAAATAAGCTTAAATTTTAGTAAGAAAAAAGTTTTTTTTTTTTTTTAAGTTTTTAGTTTTATTTGACTATAATCACCCTGTTTCAAAGCATTCATTATAATTTATTTAAAAAGCTCTATAAGCTTCTTTAGGTTTCATAGTTGCTCATTATTTAATAAAACACACTACAATCTTTTTTTTTTTATTATTGCTGAGAGAGTACTTTATACTCTAAAACTACTTGATCAATGACATTTTAAAAAACTATTTATTTTCTCAATAAAAAATAAATATTGCTGGTCTTACTGTGAATATTTCACTGATGCACATTGTTCAAAAGAAAACTAGTTTCATAAAAACATGCACCGCCTCTGACTAAAGACACACATATGAAAATGTATATATTAGCCAATAAAATCAATTTTCAGCTGTTATTCCGTGTCAGTTCTGGCTAAACCAGCCAAACTAAATCATTTCATTTGATTTGACACACAGACAGTGGTGTTAATCATGCAGACACACACCGCGCTCTCAGCTCCCGTCTGCGGCCGAGAACACACCACCATCTCCAGCTTGGCATTATTCGGCAGACTGGCAAAACGCCACTGCAGAGACAAATCTAGAACGATCCTCTGAAACCTGCAGACAAAGAGAGACAGAGACAATGAGCGTGTGTGCACACACACTCACACACACACTCACACACACACACTCACATTCTCACGAGGAACATTCAGGTGTCTGCTTGCATGTGGTGAGCCCCATACGCAGCCAACTGTGTATGATCACAGGAGATGTGTTTAAAACTCTTCAAAGTCTGTCTTGACATTGCAGTGACATTCTGTATTTTGATCATCCTTTTATTTTAAAAAGAAAAATAGACAAAATCAGAGTTGTAATCAGAGTTCTATATATATATATATATATATATATATATATACACACACACATATATATTTATAACAAATTATATATATTAATTTAGATATATTTATGGACAACTGTATATAATTATATAAATAAAAATGTATTGATATAAATGTATATGTATTATATATTATACATCTAATTTTCTAAAATTGTTTTATATATACACAATTGTATATAATTATATATAGAAAAATTATGCATAATTTATGCATACATATATATGTATATAAAATAACTAATTATACACAGTATATTTGTTTGTTTTGTTTTATTTATTTATATATATATATATATATATATATACAATTTTAATTGATAAATATTACATAATTATATTAATATTTATTATATATTATGTACAATTGTATATGATAATATATGATGTATGAATGTATTGTTTCAGGTTACACTCACTTGAGTCCGTGTTCTTCTGGATTAAAGCCGTGTTTCTTACACACATCCTCAAGAACCTGCAAGATTAAACTAGATGTTCTAGATCATGATAACCACAGTTAAACCACACATACAGCACCTCAACACCATGGTAAAAATATAACTATATGGTTTCTAGGTATTCGTCTGAAAAACAGTAATTTAACACATTAGTATAAAAATAAAACCCATTATTTAATATTCATTTTAACCTGTTTATTTTAAAAAACAGCACCAGATGTGTCTCAAACCCTAATAATCTGGCCTGTCATGTTCTACATTAATGTCTAATGCACTAGGTAGGGAGCTTACTAGTTCGGAATGCCCAAAACTGTGGCACGCGCAATATACACTCCAGATAGACAGCCTGTTACATAGGTAGCACTTGTAATGCCCCCGTGTTGCCCACACATGCTGTCTAGTTAGGGAACTCTCCAGTTCGGCTGAGTCAGAAGGCGACTCTCCGAGCCGCGCGCTGGGTTTGAGCCGCTAAACACACACACAGCCTCCGCGATCAGATGCGTGAATAAACACGAGTGTGTGAGCTCGTACCTGTAATAAAGGTGTGTTTGCAGACACTTTGACAGTCTGTCTTCTTCCATTCGGAGTTAAAACCGACACAGCCGAGCCGCTCGCCGCCATGACAGTGTGACGTCACGATGTTTGTTTGACAAAACTTTATGCGCATCTGAGACTCGACAGACTGCGACATCACTGTGCTCTTCTCTTCTTCTTCTTCTTGGCTTTTAACGGCGGCTGGCAACCAGCGTAATTAGGTGCATTACCGCCACCTTCTGCTCCGGAGTGTGGAACAGAGAGTTACATTCTACTTATTAATCCCGTCCTTTTAAGAAAATGAAAGAAAGCTTTACTATTTATTTCACTTGCCCATTTTATTAAAGATTTAAAATGTACCACCTGAACTCCATTCTTCTTGATTTCAACTATCATATTACTTCTTTCTTCCTCATATTTCTTACATTCAAGAATTACATGGGTTACTGTTTCTTCTACTTTGCATTGTTCACATAGTCCATTTGGATGTTTCCCTAATATTTTGAGTGTACTATTAAGATTGGAATGTCCCAACAATATTCTATTATAAACAACCTCTTCTTTCCTTGTTTTACCAATATGTCTTATTTTTTGACTTACTTTGTTAATTAAATTGTAGAAAAATCTACCCTTTTCGTTATTGTCCCACTTTATTTGCCATTCTGCAATAACCTTTTTCCAGATTAAAACCTTAATTTCAGACTTGCTTAGAGGAACTTGTAATTCTATTTCTTCTCTCTGCAAAGCTTGCTTTGCTAACTTATCTACGTCCTCATTTCCCTTTACACCTACGTGTGATGGAACCCAAATAAAACTGATTAAAATATCATTCTGAACCAATCTTGAATATATCTGTAAAATACTAAAAAGAATATCTTGATGACTGGATTTAAAAGACCTTAGACTTTTTAAAACTGAGAGTGAATCAGAACAAATTAAAACCTTTCCAGGTTTATAATCCTCTACCCACTGCAAGGACAAGAGTATTGCTATCATTTCAACAGTATATACTGCCAAATGATTGGATGTTCGCTTTATACTATGAGCCCAGTCAGGAACTAAAAAAGCAGCTCCAGTTGTCTCTCGCTCTGGATCTTTTGAGCCATCTGTAAATATTTGTAAGTATTGAGGATATTGTGTTCTAAAATGTTCAGAGAATGCTGAAGACATGTCTACTTTTCTTTCTGCTTTTTTAATTTCCAACAACTGTAAATCTATATGGGGAGTTATATAACTCCATGGTTCATTTTCAGGAATCACAACTGTTGGGCTCATCTTAAACCTATTTACCTCCATTTCTTCTACATACGCTTCACTACTCCATCCAAAACTTTTTCTACTCAACTTATTTTGTTCCCAACACTTCATTAAAACCATTTTTGTAGGATGATCATCTTTATGACCCTTGAGGTTAGCCCAGTAATTGATCATTAATTGTTTCCTTCTCATTTCCAGTGGAATCTCCCCTAACAGGACTTGTAAAGAAGGAATGGGTGTCGTTTTTACAGCTCCACAACACTGTCTCAAAGCTTGGGCTTGTATTTTATCCAGTTTTTCCAACAGGGTTTTTGAAGCCGAACCATATACCACACTGCCATAATCAAACACAGATCTGATCAGTGCCACATAAATAGTTTTTAATGACAAAAAACTTGCCCCCCATGCCACTCCACTTACACATCTCATGATGTTTAATACCTTCTGACATTTTTCAATAACTTTGTTTATATGATCCACCCATGTAAGTTTTGAATCAAAATAAATACCTAAAAATTTAAAAACTCTAACTCTCTCTAAGGACCTCCCGTACATCTTCAAGTTTATTTCTGGTATAATCCTTTTCCTAGAGAAAATTATAGTCTTAGTCTTTTCTACTGAAAATTTAAATCCCCAATCACCTGCCCATTCTTCTACCCGTCGAATTGCTTCTTGCATCCTTCCATTAATATACAAAATATTCCTTCCCCTTTTCCATAGAGCTCCATCATCAGCGAAAAGAGATCGACCTACACCTTGCTGTTGTACTTGATTAAATACATCATTAATCATTATACTGTATTTTTCTAATTACAGAAACTACATTTCTTACAGTTTGTAATAAGCCAGCGTCACAACAAAACAGAGAGCGCGGTGAAACTGAACTTCTTCCTCTGAGGTTTAATGGTGTTTGGCAAACAAACGCATGTGTTTAGCGCCCCCCGCTGGACTGGAGTGTGAAGCGGAGAGAGGAGGGAAATAATACGGGGTGCACAGATTTGTTTAACTATAAAAAAAAGCCGATCTGCACAAAAAATGAAAATAAATTAAAATTATTGACTCGCATCCCAACAAACATGAGACGTCGACCCAACGTGCAGATCACGTCTATATTGCGTCGGTCGGTCCAGGACCATATATGTATGTCTGAACGACGTGTAAATCCATTTCATTTTTTCCATTCTCTTTGGAGTGTTACAAGCTCTTGGTGCATAAAGAAGATCTGTAAAGTTGCAAACACTAAAGTCTCAAATCCAAAGAGATATTCTTTATAAAAGTTAAGAGTTAACCACGCCTACCTAAAACGGCTCGTTCTAACACGAGAATAAAAGTTAGGCATTTGGGCGGTGTTATGCTAATCTTCCCACATAGTGAGGTAGATATGTGGGGGCGTGTTAGAACGAGCCGTTTTAGGTAGGTGTGGCTGACTCTTAACTTTTATAAAGAATATCTCTTTGGTTTTGAGACTTTAGTCTTTGCAACTTTACAGATCTTCTTTATGCACCAAGAGCTTGTAACACTCCAAAGAGAAAGGAACAATAAATAAATCTTGAGTTTTCTGGGAGTTTAATCAGATCCACTGAAACTGAAAGCGTTTGGTTGCCTTCACTTATCCGTTGCATGTTATTCTGTTCAGACAGAGGTTTATTCAAACCGAAACAATAGACAAGCGCTCATGGCTTGACATGACTGAGACCAATCAGAAGCAAAGACAGCCAGCAATGTGTCTACTGTCAGATTCATGTCAAATAAGGGCGTGTTTGTACCTACTTTACTGTAAACCTGACAAAACCTCCTTTTGGGGATGTCCTCATTTGTAAAATTTGTAAATTGTTCTCATTTGTAAGTCGCTTTTGATAAAAGCGTCTGCTAAATGATTAAATGTAAATGTAAAAATGTTATAAAAATAAAGTTTTTTTTTCTTTTTCATTACATTTTCTGTTTGATTATAATATTTGTAACTAACTGTAAACAATTGAAGTCTATGCAATTAAAACAAGTAAATATGCATGTGTGTGTGTGTGTGTGTGTGTGAGTGAGACTCATCTGTTTAGCTGTGCATTCATTGAATGAGCACTGTGCGATGTCCGAACTGATTGCACTGTATTTTATATATAATAATTTCCTATTTTTAACTGTTTTAAATTCATTTTAAACCTCTTAAATCAATTTTTTAATCATTTTCAAAGTTTTTAATTAAATTCCTTGTTTTATTGTTGTGATTCTTTTTTTTTCTTTTCTTTTACGTAAAGCACTTTGAATTACCATTGTGTATGAAATGTGCTATATAAATAAACTTGCCTTGCCGTGCCTTGAGTGAGTGAGTGTGTGTGAGAGAGAGAGAGAGAGAGAATGTGTGTGTGTGTGTGTGAGTGGGGAGTCGTTTTGGGGAGGAAAAATTACTAATAAATTCAAAATATGTTTTGATAAAGCCAAGTATGTTAATTTTAATGATTAAAGTTTCGATACAAACCAGATGATTTGTGTGTCCTTGAGTCCTTGTTAATATCCTAATTAACTCATTATTAAACATTAAATGGCCTTAATTTAATCACTAATGATTTGTAGTAACGTTGAAGACTTTGCTCCTATTGAATTTTCACTCAACGTCGCGAAGTTTGAATCGTTTCAGAGAATCGGTTCTTTTGAACGGTTCGTTTTTACGTCAGTCTAGATGGTGTGAATCATCGATAAGATCCGGTTTAAAAGAACGATTCATTCGCGAATCTGGCGAGGAAGCAGTTGCACCTGTGGTGTGTTTTCAGCTGTTGCTTATGTGTGTGTGTGTGTGTGAGACTGTGAGTGTGTGTTTCACCGATGGAGTCGAACAGTGCGGCGTACGGAGCCTCTCTCGATCTCATCAAATTCATCAAACAGCCTCAAACGATCATACGATTCCTCAGCTGGGTGAGTGACAGGCGTCATCTGCTCATTATGATCAATAATCGACTGATCACTGGTGAAATGGGTTTAAAGCGTAAAATATTGAGTCATTCACGAGTTTAGCGGCACTTTTCACTGCTTTAATGATGTTTAACCTAATACTGTTATGTTTGAACCCTGATACATCATGGAGACGTCTATTTGACGTCTGCTTTTACATCTGCAAGACGTATTTTTTAGAATGTTTGCTCATCTGAGATTGATGCATCTATAGGACGTTTCCTATCAGATGTCAAATAGACGTTTAGAAGATGTCTTTAAGATGTTTATGATGTAAAACTGACATCTTAGAGACGTCTATCAGATGTTTGCACACAGCAGATGCTTTCCAGATGAAGCGATCTTTAACAGACGTCTTGCAGACGTACGCTCATTCAACGTTATGTAGTATTTAATAATGTTCTCAAAACTGTTATTTATGTATCTTTCATGGCACGATTTTTTAGTTTCTAAAAGTTTTAGTTGACTGTTAGTACATTACCATTTCACCATTAGTAGTTTCGGAACGTTCAAAACTAACGTTCTCATAATATTTGCAAAATGATACAATGTAACGTTCCCTTAATGTGTTAAGAGCTGCGTTTGAAGGCGTTTCATAATTGATGATGACCTGAAGCTGTTGAGTTGAATCAGTTACAGTTTACAGCTGCCATTGAATTAGTTTCATAATGCATTTTACAACATTAAAACTGTTACTTCTCAGTTTTTTAAGCTGCTTTGCACAATTTGTATTGTATAAATCGCTACAGAAATAAACATTACTTGACATAATAATGTAAATGTATGAAGATTAAATCTGCATGCTTTACTTTCAGGACAGAAATCAACAGTCTGTCTCTCTTTCTGACTGTTTCGGAGTTATCCTATTGATTGAGTGATTCATTTGACTGAGCTGAATTTGCTGTTAAGTCAGCTTACTAGTGTAAACAG